GCTGCATTATTATTCAAAATGGGTGACCCTGGAGGACATTATGCTGAGTGAAGTATCTCAGTCACAAAAGGACAAATACTGCATGGTACCACTGTTGTAGAATGGGACTGCCATCAGAGTTGGGGTAAGACTGAGAAAAACTGGATAAATTATGCATAGTGCACTGACACAGAAATGAGGGAGACAACAGGTTAAAAGTGATATATAATAGGGTATTACAGTTATAACAAGAGTCCGGAATGAAGGTTGCCTAGTGGAGTATACTCGGGGCGGAGGGGGGGTGTGTGTGTGTGGGGATTGTATACCAATGAAGGAATTTTTCGACTACTTTTCAAAGAGCGAACTTGGGGGGAGGGGTGGGCAGGGAGAAAAGTGCAACAATGAATGAACAGAAATCCAAAATCTCTGTAAATGTTCATTAAAATTAATTAAAAAAAACACCCTCTAAACAGAAAAAAAAAATAAGGCTGTTCGAGCTTGCAAGGTCACCAAGTCTGCTCAGAAAGCTCAGAAGGCTAAACGAATATTACCCATAACACCTGCCACCCCAGTCGTAATCAGTTGGTGGAAGAACAGTTTCAGAACTGTTTGTCTCAAGCGGCCATTTAAGTTTAATAGAAAAAGACTGGTTACTGATAACAATGCATCGTAAAACCTTCAGAAGGAAAGGAATGTTTTGTGGATCATTTGTTTTACATGTGGCAGTTTTATTAGTTTTTAAAATGAGTACTTTTTAAATGGAAGCAACTTGACCAAAAATTTCTCACAGAATTTTGAAACCCATTAAAATAAGTTTAATGAGGAAAAAAAAATAATAATGGCTGACATGGAACCATTTTTTAAAGTAATGCATGGTGAACCATCCATGGTAATTGTGGAGTCAAAGGTTTACTGTTCAAAATTGATTTCCTAATGACAATCCTACCAAAAGCAATATACATATTCAATGCAATCCCAGTACAGATACCAAATTCATTTCGAGGAGACTGAAAAGGAAACTGTCAAGTTTATTTACAGAGGAAAGAGACCCCAAATAAGTAAACCACTTCTGAAAAACAAAAATGAAGTGGGAGGGATCGCACTCCTTGACCTCAAAACCTACTACATAGCAGCAGTAACCAAAGTAACATGGTACTGGTACAATGACAGGCACACAGACTAATGGAATAGAATTAATAACCTAGAAATGGACCCAACTATCTATGATCAAACGATATTCGACAAGAAATTAAATCTATCAAATGGGAAAATAACAATCTCTTCAAGAAATAGTGCTGGCATACTGGACTGCTTCTTGCACAAAGCTGAAACAGGAAATCACATCTCACACCATACACAAAAATCAACTCAAGGTGGATCAGAGACCTGGGAGTAAAGCTCAAAACCATAAAGTTCCTAAGAGACAAACTGGGATTACACTTAGATGGCCTAGTCTGTGGTATAAGGAGACTGCCAAATAAAGCCAGATATACACAGTCTGGAGAGGATAAAATTGATGAATGAGACCTTCTAAAGATTAAATCCCTGCGCACGTCAAAAACATTTCCCAACAGAGTGGAAAGAAAACCTACTGACTGTAAAAAAACATTTTGCAACACCCTTTCAGACAAGGGTCTCATATAAAAAGTTTACAGAATCCTATAGGGCCTCCACAAGACGATTACAAAATGGGCAAAGACATGGAAAGACTTTTCACAGAGCAAAATATTCAGATGGCCAACATGAAGAAATGCTCAAAATAACTGGCAATAAGACAGATGCAAATCAAAACCACAATGAGATAACATCTCATTTTTTTTTTTTTGCAGTGGCAAATGATAAATGTTGGAGAGGATTTTGAGAGCTAGAAACTCTTACACACTGTTGGTGGGACTGTAAAATGGTACAACCACTCTGGAAGGCAGTTTGGTGTTTCCTCAAAAAACTGGAAAATAGAAATTCTTTATGACCCAGATATTCCTATGCCTGGAATATAACCTGAGAAAATGAGAACTGAAGCACAAATGGAGATTTCTACACCAATGTTCATAGTAGTGTTATTTACCATCACAAGAACATGGAAACAGCCCAAATGTCCAATCACAACTGAATGGACTGAGAAATTATGGTGCATTCACAGGATGGAATACTATGCAGTTTGCAGAAGCAATAATTTTGAAAATTACTACCTAACTTGGGAGGGGATGGAGAGCATTATGCTAAGTGAACTAATTCAGTCACATAATGACAAATACTGTATAAGATCATTAATGTAGAAATAGAAAGATAACTAATAAAACTTGTTTAAGGATCCAAGGTGGGGGGGGTGGGTAGGAGCAGAGGGGTGAGGATGGGTAGGGGGTAATCATCGGGCTGCACAATTTGATGGTCAGAGGGAGGGAGGTAAATGAAAGGGGAAGATCTGGTGTGAAAAACAATGTTACAAACTTTGTAAGTAATCCAGTAAAACCCAAAAACTTTCTTCACAAAAAAAAAGGCTTTCCCAGCCAGTGACCTTGGCTCTGCCCCACACGGATGGGCAGGATCACACAGACAGGGTATGTTAATCTATTCACAAGGGGATTCACTAGTATCCCCATTAAATTTAGCATACTCAGAAGCAAAAATTGGGAATCTCAATGCCAACAAAGAAGAGGAAGCAGGCTGCATCTGTCGGAGCCAGAGATCCCAGTACCACCGAATGTGGGTTCAACACAAGAGTAACAGCAGACTCAGCAGAGAAGCAGAGACCAACATGAGACAGAGCAGAGTCAGGGGCCTTCATTCCAGCTTACCGGAGGACTGAAGAAGATGCCATAACTGGCAGAGCTAAAGGAACTTTGTACACACACTGATCTATGAGGCTGAAGGGCAAAGGACCTGTGAAAATACCTGGGAGGCTGTCTGGATGAAGGGACTGTATCCTGTTGCCAACCTGAATCACAGCCTGTTAACTTCCCCAGTAAACCCCATAAATATGTTTTTGTGAAGCCTATGTGGTCACGGCAACAGATTTTAGACCCAGTAGAGTAGTAAGACTGCTTCTAGTAGAAGGTGTAGGAGCATGGGAGGCCACAAATGAACTTCTAGGAGTTACCTGTGTATTGTGGATGTTGTTGTTGGGTGGAGTTACAAGAAGTGAGACTTGGCTGTCCTCATGTTGTGTACACTCATTGTGTGAATGTGTGTGTGGATTTATCCTCATTTTATAAGAATGATGGAAGATGTTTAAGCTGCACTGGAGGCACTGACAAAATATAGAACCTCAGGAATTGATGGGATACTGACATATTTCAACAGCATATGCAGCCCTGAACACGCTCACCAGGCTGTGTCAAGAAATACCAGGCCATACCAAGAAATCTGGAAAGCCACCTGGCCAACTGACTAGAAGAAAACCCTATCTGTTCCCATTCCAAAAAAAGATAACCCAATCAAATGTAGAAATAATCAAACAACAATATTAATATCAAGTACAAGTAAATCTTGCTGATGATTATTTAAAAAGCTAAACCAGTACATCAACTGAGAACTGCCAGAAATTCAAGTTGGATTAAGAAGAGGCCATGACCATGGCCTCTTCTTAATGTCAGATGGATCCTGGCTGAAAGCAGAGAATACCAAAAGGATGTCTATATATGTCTTATTGACTATATAAAGGCATTTCACTATGCAGATCATAACAGATAATGGCTAACTTTGAGAAAAATAGGAGTCTCAGAACACTTAATTGTGCTCATGTGAAACCTATACATAGACCGAGAAGCTGGTGTACAGAGTAAGAGAACACTATATGGTTTAGAAAGGTATGCATCAAGGCTGTATCATTTTCCTACAACTAGTCAATTTGTTTGGAAGCAGGAGTGTCACCACCCACTTTCTCAACAACTTGCCTCCAGAAACTCTATGAACTTTGATAAATGGCCTTCAGGCCTTTTGTTCACAGGGTCGCTATGAGTCATGCTTGACTCAAAGGCAATCAACAGCAACAACAGTCAATCTGTATGCTGAACAAATCATTTGAGAAGCTGGACTTTATGAAGAAGAATGTGGCATCAGGAATGGAAAAAGACTCATCAACAATGTGCATTATGTTGCTTGCCTATAGAAAAGATGACTTGAGACACTTTTTTCAGAAAATCAAAGACTACAGCATTTAGTGTGGACTACATCTCAACATTAAGAAAATAATATTCCTCACCACTGGCCCAACGGGCAACAAACATCATGACAGATAAAAAGACTGAAACTGTCAACTATTTCATCTTGCTTGGATCCACAATCAACACCCTCAGTACCAGGAGTCAAGAAATCAAAAGAAATTATGTCACTGGGAAAATCTGCTGTCAAGAACCTCAAAGTTCTAAGTAGCAATGATGTCACTTTAAAGACTAAGGTACACCTGATCCAATCCATGGTCTTTTCAATCACTTGCTATGCATCAGAAAGTTGGAAAGAACTGATGTCTTTGAGATGTGTTGGAGAAGAGCACTGAATATCCCATGGCTGACTATCCCAGCCAGAAATATATCTTGGAGACATAGGGTGGTCCTTAGAAGCGCAGATGGTGAAACTTCATCTCACATACTTTGGGCATGATGTCAGGAGGAACCAGTTCTTGGAAAAGACATCATGTTTAGAAAGGTGGAAGCTCAGCAAAAGACAGAGGAAGACTTTCAACATGTCTTCCCCACAGTGATTGTAAAAATGGGCTCAAGTATGTTAGAGACAGTGAGGATGACGTAGGGCAGGGTACGTATCTGGTCACAGGGTCACTATGGGCTGTGGTTCACTCAATGGCATCTATCGTTAACTGTATTCTAGACAAAAATAAATTCTTAAAAAATAGATATAGGTGTAATGGTGGAGAAACAAAGTAACTCCCATATAACTGGTTTTTCTTTCTTTTAAAAAAACCAAGTTTCACTTAGTTCAGGACATATGCACACAAGTACATCCTCTCCCCTCCCCCGGCTTTCACATGGGACTGCAGTGTCCTGACAAGCACAATCAGCAGTTACCTCTCTGCCTGTCAGGATATGCCTCGCCAACTTCACTTTTGCAAAATTGCCTTTGCCGATTGTCTTTAACAGTCTGTAGTTTCCGATGTGGGGCTGCTCGTCTGCACAGGAAGCTATAGAGTTTCTGCAGCGCGCTCCAGAGCGCCCAGTCCGAGAGGTGACTTCTTGACGCCCATCTCCATGTGATATGTGCTGTAACAAGAGATACAACAACAAGGAAATGAGCACACGGTACTTGTCAAGTTTTAAGAGTTGTGCTAAAGAAAAAATATTCTTTTGAACACTTTATTGTACAAGTTTAAATGGTAAATTTATTCTTCATTTAATAATTCATGTGCAAATTATCCCATGACATTGGCTCCAACTGCCATAAAACAAAACATTGCTTTCATTTTAGTGCCCATGCGTTCAGCAATCAGAGGAATTGTCCACATGAAACAAATTTCTGAGGAAAACAAGGGAATCGTAAGTGCTAGAGTTTAACTCAGTGTTCAGAAAGAAATGAGAGATTCTGTACATTTGGTAGTCATAAAAAATGGGAGGAAGAGTTATTATCTGATCGTCATCAAAGACTTCATTTTTCCATATGTCAATGAACACTCCATCAATACAAGATCCTCCCCACAAAGTGGGAAGCAGGCAGCAGAGCCAATATCACCATTTACCAGATGAGGAGCCTCTTGTGACATGTGCATGGCCACATGACTTTCTAGTGAGAAATCCAAGGGAAATACGGATTTCTGCTTTCCACACTGTGCTGTTGACAATAATTCAGCTAGAAAGACCCTTAATTAACGCGTGTTGACTAAAATACTCTACAGGCCCAGCAACTGCCAAAGAAGCCACATGCACCTCTACTTCAGAGCTAAATACCAAGGTACTGTCCAGCACATACCAGGGCCCGGGGGGGAGGGGCTTCCTCTGTCCTTCCGTCCTCACAGGTCTACCTGCTGGTTCCCCATGCTTTGTCCCTCCCTAGGACCTTCTTCCACCTTGAACACCTACTCCAGGAAGGTGTCACACTCATACGCAAGGGAACAGATTTTCCAACCTTTTTCTCTCTTCTAACTCTGTGTCCAGGACAATGTGCCTTGTTTCTCTCACCCTATCTGTAGGTCAAAGTCATCCTGAGGATAGCTGATGAACAGAAAAAGCTACTCTGCAGCACACTTACGTTGTTAACTGGTGTGACATCTACCCAGACTAAAGCAACACTATGAACAAGGGTTCGGAACCTTGTTTAATTCTGTGCCATCCTTGTCATCTCTGACATATTTGAGCTTATTGCTGCAGTCACTGTGTCAATCCATTTGGGTCTTCCCCTCTTTTACTGACCCTCCATCTTTCTAAGGATGATACTCTCTCTAAGGACCGGCCTCTCCTAATTACATGCTCGAAGTCCGTGAGATGAAGTTTCACTATGCTTGCCTCCAAGGAGCACCCAGGCTGCACTTTCTCCAAGACATGTTTGTTTGTTTGTTCTATTGACAACCCACGGGATGTTGTTACATGCCATCGAGTTGCTTGTTAACTCAGTGACCCTATGTACGACAGCTCTGAACTCTATCCTGAGCCAATCTTACCGTCTCTGACACATCTACTCCCATTTCCCCAGTCACTGAGTCAATCCATGTCATCAAGGATCTTCCTCCCTTGTGCTGTTCCTCTAACCTCCCAAGCATGACATCCCTCTCCAAGGACTGGTTCCTCCTTGCAACATGCCCAAAGTACGTCAGATGAAGCTTCAGAATCCAAGCCTCCAAGGAGCAGCCTGGTCTCACCCACTCTAGGATGAACCTGTTATTTCTCCTAGCCAACCATTCAATACTCTTCTCCAGCACGAAAGCTCAAAGGCATCAATTCTCCTATCATCTCTAGTCATTGTCCAGCTTTGCAATTAATTGCAAAGACCATGGTCTGGATCAGGTGCACCTTTGTCTCCAGACTGACATTGTTGCTCTTCAGTATTCTGGAGTGGTCCTTGACTGCAGACTTTCCCAGTGCATTTTGTCTTTTGATTTATTGGCTGCTGGAATCAAGAGTGTTGACTGTGGAGCCAAGCAAACGGAAACTATTAACAATCTCAATCTCTTCACTGTCTATCACGATGTTGCCAATCAGCCCAGTGGGGAGAATTTTTATTTTCTTGATATTGAGCTTCAATCCATATTGAAGACTGCAGTCCTTGAGCAGAAAGCGCTTCAGGTCCTCCTCAGTTTCAGCAAGCAAAGTTGTGTCATCTGCATAATGCAGGTTGTGGATGAGTCTTTCTCCAATAATCCTGATGCCACATTCCTCCTCATAAGAGACTAGCCTCTCAGATGATCTGTTCTGCATACAGATTGAAAAGGTATGGAGACAGGACACATCTCTGATATACACCCTTCCCAATTTTGAACCAAGCAGTGTTTTCTTGCTCTGTTCTGATGACTGCCTCTTGGTCCATGTACAGGTTTTGTATAAGCACAATCAAGTGTTCTGGGATTCCCATTCTTCTCAGAGTTAGTTTGACCACAGTTAGTTGTGATCCACACAGTCAAATGCTTTTGCATAGTCAATGAAATACAGACATTCTTCTGCTACTCTAAGATTAGCTATAATATCCCTAGTACCACAGCCTCTTCCTAAACCCAGCCCACACGTCTGGCAAGCTCCACTGATGTGCTGTTCCAGTTGATTTTAGATAATATTCAGCAGAATCTTGCTTGCACGTGATAGTAATGATACTGTTCGATAATTTCCACACTCTGTCGGGTCACCTTTCTTTGGAATGGGAACAAATATGGATCTCTTGGCCAGGTGGTTGTTCTCCAGATTTCTTGGAACAACTTGGCAAGCACATTCAGGGCAGTGTCTATTTGTTGAAATATGTCACTGGTATGCTGTCAATTCCTGGGGCCTTGTTCTTTTCCAATTCATTCAGAGCAGCTTGAACTTCTTCCTTCATGACCATAGACTCTTGCTCATACACTGGAAGAGTCAGTACTTTTCTCCAAAGCCATAACTTAAAAGGTATTAAAGCTTCTGTCGTCCTATTCACTGTCCCGCTCTCAGATATTTTACAAGTGAATGAACGAATCAAAGCCTGAATCAGGCATACCTTAGTCTTCAAAATTACATTATTGCTCCTCAATAATTTGGAGAAGTCTCTGACTGCAGACTTTTCCAAAATAATGTTTCCTGATCTGATCTCCTCACTGCTGATACCAAGGGTGTTAACTGTGTATCCAAGTAAGATTAAATCATTGACTATTTCAATCTTTTCCCTTCTATCATTATGGTGTCTACTGGGTCACTATTGAGGACTTTTGTCTCCCTGATGCTGACCTGTAACCCATATAGAAGGCTGTAGTCCTTGACCTTCTGCAGCAATCACTTTCAGTGATTCAGTAAGCAAGATATGTGTCATCTGTATAATGCATAAAAGGGTGTTGTAGTAGACACAGGACCAACAGAAAACATCATGAGAGATGGAAAAAAGACTGCTACTGTCAACAACTTCATCTTACTTGGATCCACAATCAACACTCATGGTAGCAGCAGTCAAAAGATCGAAAGACATACTGCTCACCAAAGACATACAAATGGTACACAAACACATGAGGAAATGTTCCAAATCCCTAGCTCTAAGAGAGACGCAAATCAAAACAACTATGAAGTATCATCTCACCCCAGTAAGAGTAGCAAAATTTAACAGAACAGAAAACAACAAATGCTGGTGAGGCTGTGAAGAAATGGAACCCTTATTCACTGTTGGTGAGAGTGTAAAATGGTGCAACCACTATGCAAGGCTGTAAGGTCCTTTCTCAAAGTTGCAAACAGAAATACCATTTGAACCAGCAATTCCACAACTGGGAATATACTCCAAAGAAACCATAACAGCCACTCAAGCAGATATATACACACCTGTGTTTATTACTGCGCTGTTCATGATAGCAAAGAGATGGAAACAACCCAAGTGCCCATCAACATACGAATGGACAGAGAAACTCTAGTATATTCACACAATGGAATACTACGCTACATTGAAAAACAAAACAAGGAACTCATGAAATATTATATAAAATGGGTGACCCTGGAGGACATTATGCTGGGTGAAATAGCTCAGTCACAAAAGGACAAA